TTTCTTCCAACAATTATATCGTCATTAAAGACCTCAGCCTTGGTGAGAAAAAAAACGAGTGTCACAGCGTCACGTTGATAAATTGGATTTTCTAATCGACGCAAAGGGTTTGAAGCAAAATTTTTTTAGCAATCGATAGCTCTTTAGTTACTCTACAAACCTCTGTCTAGGAACGTGTCATTTGTTAAACGAACTTCACAGGAAATTGGCATTTAATTAGCAACACTCGGAAAAAAGGACCTTTTTTTGTCACAGCGTCACGGCCCGAAAAATGGTTCTGTAGACTAGAGATTAACCCAAATTTTCTGAGTTCAGTATATCATAAATAGAGCGAGCTAAGCTGCATCGAATGCCGCCAGAACCAACCTTCTAGCTCTTCTACTTTTTGAGCTGATTTAAAATTAACGTGTAAAAACTGTCATAGCGTCACGCTTGGACAGGCCGTTCAGCTCGTTTAAAGCTGCTATGAGCGCAGTTATGATGACTTCTGCATCGCTTAAGAATCCATGAACAGAAGCACTTATTCTTCGCCATGTCTTGATGACAGAGGGACTTTTTATCTTTTATCGAACAACAGAGAGCACTGTTTTGCTAAGATCGATTTCTCGACGCTCTTTTTGGACTCCTTAATGGAAAACTAATTTTTATAGACAGACTCTACTTACGCATAAACCAATCCACTAATGTAGCCAGTCGAGTACAACAGTTTGGAGTTTTGGAACATTAATTTTGATTTGATTGATTTTACTTTATTACAAAACTGCGAAATATCATCGTTGTATATGTTTTGTAAGACAGACATTTCAAGCTTTTTGGGAAGAATAAAATTTATTCTAATCTGTTCTGTTAATATGTCAACTAATAAACATTTACACGCATGCTCACTGCATTCTTCATCATCAATTTGTAATGGAATGGGAAGGGTATTTTTAGTATATTTATCGTCAATTAATGGTAATATTGTTACTAGAAATATAATAGATTTTTCACCATTAAAAGATTCACGATTATAATAATAATGGAATCTTTCATCATATTTTGTATCAAACACTATTGATTGAATTAATAATCTTATAAATAATAAAAATGCATTAATATCGGATACATTAGCTTTGACGTTTGATGAACAACTTTTACTAGGAATGAAATCAAACACGATTAGTGTACTTGTATCAATTATTGATTTGAAGTTATATAATTCTGTATCTCCTTCTAGTTTTTGACCATTATAAGACAAATTATATTCATCAATTTTATTTTTATCCAACCTTAACATTTTCAATGACTTTTCTTTTATCCAACTTAGTCGTGTTTCATAAAAGTCCACATCTTGAAGAAGAATCGTGAAATTCTCCTTTTTCGTTTCATCTTGATAATGGATAAAGACATTCACTGATTTCATCGCGTGATGATCATTATAAATATAAGATCGAGGTATCGTCAGATCTAAAAGAATAATAGCTTTCTAATAATGTTGTACGTAATATCGCTACTGTTCGCCAGCCATTGATAAAGCAGAAAAAAAAATCTGATTCTCTGTATAAACTTGCTAAGAAAAGCGAAGCCTGACACTTCTCGGATGTTGCCTCGAGTGAACCTTGGTTCCTCAAACACATCAATTTTTTCGTATGAATGACGCATGATTCGATTCACTTTTCAAGCAGACCACGCATATTATTATGAATAAAAATATTTCAAAGCTTCAAAAATCGTGTAATACGAATGAGAAACTGATCAAAAATTTCCATTGGTACTCATTGTACCATTTTGTTCAAAACAGTATCAACCGGTGCTCAATCAGTAAGGGGACACCTCATATCCCGATCACAATATAGAAAAAAATTAATATCCCGATCGGGATATAAAACACACAGTTCAGCATAGCTGCTTGAATCGCCTCCACTGTTTTCACTTGAAGCCATGATCAAATTGTAAGAATCGCCTCCACTGTTTTCACTGGAAGCCATGATCAAATTGTAAATTATTTCACTACTTGTT